TTCTGAAGGTCTGCTGCTTCACTTACGAAACAGAAGATTAATATTTCACATTCCAGATAGAAGCATTTAATCTTCTATAATACATGCAATTCTTTACAGAACAATAAAAGGAATGATGCCTTCAAGCACTCATAGTTTGAGTTTTTTGGTGCTCATTAGTGATTCCAAAACATGCACAACTCTTCTGCACAGAGGAAGCTTCTCATAAAGGAGTTCATCACTACATTCACTTACCTGCTATTTCAGTAACAGTTTATTTCAGTTTTTAAATCAAAGGATCAAATTTGCAAGGAATAGTATGTTAAAACAACAACAAAATACAAACACATTAAGTCTGTCACTGCTTCATTTCCTAAGCTATACAGATGGTAATTTGAAAGAAAGGAAGAATATTTCAAGAGTTTATTAATGCCTGTAGAGTAATGTATAACGGCAGCTAACAAGAAATTCATCTTTCAGAAGCCAGCAAGTTATGGAGACTATAAAAACAGCCAGCTGTGTTTATAACTGAAGGCTAGCTTAAAGGCTGGAGTCTCTGAAACATCTACCAAGTCTGGCTAGCTAGGGTCCAACCACCGTCTTCCAAGACCTTTATGAATACCCCCTCAATGAAGTGCTTTTGAACGTGAAACTCAAGAAAAGCACGCAATTTCACAGCAATTAAGAAGTAATATTCCCAACTTAAATCATACAAGGAAATCTCACAAATGGAAAGGTCAGCAGCTGCCAATTCAAACATGGGAATGCCAATTCCAGTGGTCCTCCCTCACTTTTGGTGAATAAAACTTAACTGTTTCCCCACATAATTTTCAACTATTAGCAAGCAGTGACACTGAGGCAGCACGGTTTAGAGTCCCATCTTTGAACTGGCTAAGAATCTCAGAAATGGTGACACAGTGCCAACAGAGCCTTTCAAAAGACTAAAACAAGTGTGTCAAAGACTCAAGGGACTATGACTGGGTTTGAAATACTGCAGGTCAAAAAGGACACTTTTTTTTTCTTCTTTAACAGTAAGGAACCCTCCAACCACACACTGATTAAACCTGAAATAACGGGAAACCACATAGATTATTAGGATGAAAAGAAAGTATGTTCCTTTTCGTCCTGGGTTTTCTGTGAGGAGTTTTTGATTCTGATTTTGGTAGTGGGGGAGGGGTACCTGAAAAGCTTCCCCCATTCTAATGTCAGACCCACCTCTGACCAGGGCCAAGCCAATCAGCACCCCTGCAAATCTGAGATGCCCTTCCAGTCCTTATTTTGACTTGCTCCCTTTCTGGGGCATCGTGGTACTCGGTTACGCACTGGGCCTAAACCACAACACTTTTTAAAAAAATACAGTGTTATACAAGTATAGGCATGTTTAAGTGAATGTTAATGAAAATAGCAGTTTGAAGCAGAAAAAGGAATTTTTAGTCTGAGTTCTGCTGTGCTGCAACTAGATAAATGACTACAACAAAGACAGTAACCACCCCAGAGAACTGACAAACCAGGGTTACAATAAAGTGAAACTAGTAGATAAAGTCGTAACTGCAGACAATTTGAAGAAAAGTAAAGGCAACAGCAAAATGTACTCACATTATCAATTAATTCTATTGCTGATATGACCAACATTTTATGAGACAAAAAATTGATCATATTTAACATTTATAAAGTATCTTAATTTTTTTTGTTTATTTTCCTGGTGGGAAAAATGCCTCAGTAGCTTAGAGGTGAAAACTCTAACAACAGCCACAGCAAAAAAAACTCCATAATAGCTATTAGTCAAACAGCTGCTGCTTCATACGAGAATAGGCTGATCAAATTCTGACAGTTCTGAGCTCTGTAACCTTTTTTTTCCACATTTCTTCCCAATTTGTTGTCCTCACAAATCTGTGTTGAGAGACATAACACAAGCAGCTTGACTCCAGCTGGAACAGCAAGCAAAACAGTCTCTCTGGACCCAGTACTTCCAAAGATGCTCCCAAATATCCTCTTACATTCATTTCACTCAAAGAAGTGAAATGAATGCACAAGGAGCCACGAGGTATTTGCCCACATATATGAAATGTATACAAACTACTGACCCAGCCCCATTTCTCTCCACACCCACCTATAGGAAACCTGAAATTATGGCTGCACTTTTGAAGGTCAATTCCCTGGCATGACTGCAGCACATTCCAAAAGGCTGATATCAACATTCCTTCCTAGAGAGCTTGATACTGGATTGGTGACTGAAATGAAGAAGGTAGGTGGTGTGTAGAAGCAGAGTTGTTAAACAGCTGGCAACATCTGTTTCAAGTATTATCACACAATATGTACTAAATACGGCCAAAATATTGAGCAATTTTTAGAACTGTAGCAGTTTCCACATTAATTTTATTTCCTCCTATCTGTTTTCAGCAAAAATGGTAGTCACAAGGGGAGACAGTAAAAATATTTAAGTAACATCAATCAGTTAGTATTTCTTTTCTATCAAGATCAGGGTTCTGATAGTTCAGAATGCCTGCCATTTTGAAGCATCTAGCTTAATAGCAGGCGTAGAATAGAAAATCTTGGTAGCTTCTTCCAAGCTTATCCACACTGAGACATAAAATTCTTAATCAAATCACTGAGTGTGGGTCTTCATTATATTAAATATAAACTTATGATAATCTTGCAGAAATCCAAAATCATCACCTGTTGTACTCCTTAATAGTTGTAGTGTGTTCCCCTGATGTTTTCTTATCCTTCAGTCAGACAGCAAATAGAAACAACACAGCAGCATGAAGAATGCATGCAGTAGAAACACCATAAGGTAAATAACAAGTAAAGAATTTTGAAGAGGTCTCTATAAAGTATCAATTTCATTTAGAGAATTTATTTTCTAGTTTACTGCTACTGATTTACAAACAACTAGATCTGTCTGGATTGAAAAGAAAGAATAGTCTAAAATTTACCTCAGTAAATAATTCTATACGTGTCTGACACAGAAGACACGATGTTCCACAGACAGGAGAACAGTAGGTTAGGTTCTCACTCATGCGGACCTGGACTCAGATAACCTCGGTCAACATAAGTACATATGTAACTGATCCTGCGTACTCCCTAGAATGCCCTGTACAATGTGGTATCTGTCCAAGCCTGGAATACCTGAACTTTGCAGATCATAGGTAAGATCTAATTTTTTTTCATTTTAGATATGTAAACAGCCTCTCTCACTCACAATATAGGAGAGTTAAATCCATGGAATCATTCATATAAACTAGCACCTGGGTTTGTGTCTCTCTGAAGTAAACCAAAAAGAACTGGATCCTGAGTTCACTCATCTCAACAAAACTGGCATCACTGATATTACTTCGTGCTGTAATTTACAATGTCCATACACTCTTTTAAAATCTGGTGAGTCAGCTGATCAGAAACAGAGCATGTATTAGCGTATTAGCATATGCTAATACTTCCTCCAAATAATCTGTTTATGAAACAGACACTGACACTCAGTGCTGGATAGGAAATACTTCTTTTTTCATGTATGAGACATTGACCTTTACAAACATCATTAAATTGTATACGTGATTGTAAGTTCTGTGTAAGCAATGGATGTTCAAAATGTTGTTTATGAAATACCTATAAATACACACATATGTATCAGATACTGCAATTCAAAACTTCACCCACCATAAACTTATATACAAAGACTTACATGAAATACATTCTGTAAAACAAACAAAAAACCCAAACCCAACAAACTGTTAAAGGGAAACTACGATAAACTCAAATAAACTTATTTTAAAAGGCACACTGTGTTGCTAAATACAGTAATAACTTAATAAAAGCAAGAATAAAGGCCAGGAAAGCCACCTGCAAAACTTAACTTCTTAAATGGTAAGACAAGAGACTTCTGCTGCATTGCCTTGGATCAGAAGAAATATATCGGCACTTAACCATGTCTTGTCACAGTACACTGATTAACTCACAAAATTTTAACATACCAAAAAAAAAAATCCTTCTATCTATTTGATATGACAAATGAAGTTTGCAAACTGAAATTACCCAAATTAAAACCTGTGCGGTCATAAGGCTGCAGAGTTTACACCCCTGCTGTCATGACACTTTCTAGTAAGCACAATCACATCATCAAGCTGAATCCTACCAGAAAACCTACCCTTTCAGCAGCCAGTTCCTCCTAGTACTACACTACACCATAGTTCAGTTCCATTTCAGAGGATCGAATTAATCTTCAGGTGAAATTCGATGAGATCAGTGAGCCTTAAAGGTCTTGCTCTTCCTGCCTGATCCTAGCTGCATGGCACCATTCCTCAGACCAGCTATGCATATTTGTGAAACCCTTCTCTGCAAATTAAACTGCATAAAGTCAGATAGTTATCTATGGGTTAGTGAGCAGAATGGGTTCACAGAAGATATTTGACAAAGGACACAAACAAAAAAAATCAAGATGGAAGGTGAGATCTTTCCTATTTTGCATCAAAATGCCAGTAGATTAGCTCTTAGTTACTCGTCAATATAATTTTCTGAAGAATGTGGGAAAGAAAAACCCTGAAAACACCTAAATACCAACCCTGCTCACAATAGCTTGTGAAATCTGATAGGATCAAAGAATGGTGTTAGGCTATAGGCTTTCTACAGGTTGGAAGGCAACTTTATGGCTGTAAATAGTAATCGGCATGTTTAACACCTGAACACCTTCACACAGTTTGTCTTTAACAAACCAACAACTACATTAGAAACAAAAGAATTTTACTGACAAAACTAAGTTAAACAAAATGCATTAACTTACTGAATCCAGAAAGCAGAGATAGGTTCCTGAGCTCTGAATTACTGCTTGATTTTTAGCAAAACCAACTGTTGAGAAAAACAAGATAAAATTATGTTATCTTTCCATTTTATTGTCAGGAACAGATGAAAGGAAATATGAAGATCAGTATCAAGTAAAGTACACAAGTTTTCAATATTTAAAACCAGGTAATTTGTAAATATTTAAATAGTATGCCTATTTCAGTCTTCATCTCCGAGTGGTTATCAGTTGTGTGTGTTAGAATTCTACCACCAAGTAGAATTAGACTACTTTTGCTAGCCATCCACAAAGACATAACACACAGAATCACACAGAATCGCTCGGCTG